GACAATCTTAGGGGTTTCAAAGGCTAATTTAATTGATTTTAGAGTCCACTAATATGTAGAAAATAAATATTACATTTTTTCTCACCGACGGAAGGGTAGGGGGCAGCTCTCCCCGACGGTGGACTAACTGCCCTCCCCCTCCCCTCTGGCGCTAGCCCTGATTGAGTCTTACCGTCAAAGTCCGAGCATGTGCCTTTACTGATATAGATATCATCAACAGCTACCATTTCTGTAGAGTAGTAGTAACCATAGGCTCTTCCTATCAACCTTATGTAAGAGTTGGCAAGGTTAGCAAAATTAACACTAACATGTTTCCATTGGCTACTGTAGTCATCGTTGACCGAGAACACATAATATGAATTATAATTCTTAATCTGATAAATGTTTATGTAATTATATGATCCACTCATATAAAAGTAAAATTTAAGACAAACATCACTCCATGTAGATGGTATCATTTGGCTGTCAAGGTATCCATATTGCGATGAATAGGTCGACTCAACATAAATATAATAATCATCTGTAGGTTAGAAAAAAAATTTACATTATATGATTACCGGTACTTTTATAGAATTTTTTATATCTTTTTTATATTTTTTTTATTGTTACTAAAACAACTTACTATTTAATTTTTATATTTAAATGTAGGCCTATTGCTTAAATAAAAATTAAAAATTAACGACAAAATAGTATTAGCCGCATCCTCACCTATTTATTTACAATGCTTAATGTTGCCAGAGTGGAGCAGAGTTAAATGTTTTTGAAATAGATGGAGAAACCTGATACACCAGTACCAGTACCAGCATCAATAATGCTAGTACAGTATCATTTTAATCATACACCTGCACGCATAGCCTGGGCTCCAGCCGTTATAATTGGGTTACTCATTATTTTTGTGAAATATAATCTTTTTATTGCACTTACTGAGCGCCATGCCAAATTTGTATTCCGTCTCTAAATTAAATTACTCGTTTTTGGCGCTGTCCAGAATGAGAAGAAAGATAAGGGCCTTTTGTCTACTGATTAAGACCTCTGTTAAAGATTAAACAGCGAGAAATGAATACAGCAGAACCCCTTCTTTGGGACACTATTAACGAGACTTATTAAGGGGAGGGTAGTATAAAAACTTTTTTGGTCTCGAGGGTGTCCCCTTAATAAGGGTTACAGTCTGTATACTGTTTCAAGCGTGCATCACTGAGATGGGACTGAGATATAATAATAAGTTGCTATTTAAACCTGATGAAGAGTAGCGATTGCCTCTATCAGCGCCATAAATTCTCCCAGAAGAACGCCTCCATTGACTAGAACTATAAGTGTGAGACCATCCACACCATCCATCATTAAAGTCAGAGCAAAAACCATCTATTTAGACCAAAGAAAAGATATTTCTGAAATAGCTTGCTGCAAATTAATGAAACAAAATATGATGTCTGATTTCAATTATATATTCAAACTTGTGCCTTTTTTAAAACTCATATCTTATTTATCTTTACTAATATCTTTAGCCAGGATGACACAATCATTTTAAAGAAGTGTTTTTCATTGTGGTCCTGGAAAAAAAGAAAAAAAAATAATAAAAATATTATTAATAATGATAATAACAATCATCATAACAATAATAATAAACAACAACAACAAAATAATAATGTTAAACAAAACACAAAAGAACACACCCAGAGTCAGGCATTAATAATCATAATCATCATTTCGTAACCCTTTTCCTCCCCAATTCCACTTTTTTTTTTTTCCTTTTTCATTCTTTTTTCCTCCATTTCCTCTTCAGAAATCACGAAAATGGCATACGCGCGCCCCCGCTTTTGAGATGACGATGATTTATTTAACCAATCTTTAACTTTGTATTTATGATTGTTTATAATGTGTGCAGATAAGACTATGCACAGTATTAAATGACCATTTAATAATGTTTCACACTTTTGGATATTCAGAGAGCTGTATGTTTGCCTGAATTTTTCGTTTTAACCCTCTTGATATTTCTCTGGTTTGTTTGATTGTAATATTTTATCTAGTAATTCAATATAATACGTAAGCAAATAATTATAATAATGTTTAGTAATCATCTGGATTTACTTCACTTACCCGACTGTCCTGGGTAGGTAAATATTTCTGCTTGAAATCCTCTTCCTGTTACACTGTAATCACTAGTAAAGACAACCGTCAGTGTGTTATTGGTGGATACCGTTATTGGCGGCAATTGGTTACCATTGTAACGGGCAATTTCTTCTCCGTCGCTAATAATATATACCCAGTCGCAACAACTCTCAAGATAAAAATCGTAGAATTCAATAGCGAGCAAGCTTCCAGGATGGGTACTAAACGACCACCTTACGTCCATGTTGTTTCCATATCCGCTTGGGTAGCCAGGAGACGTGATGAGCTGTGATCCGTTACCGCACAAAAATGTGTCCGTTGTTTGCGAAGGGGTTTCTAGAAAATGTAACATTTCAAAAAGGCAACTTTAACAAAACGGAAGTGGAGATAAGTCTGAAAAAACAAAGATTGACTGAAAGCTACAAAATATAATTTTTGTAGTATCAATCAAGCCAGTTTTAAGGAAACCATGTGCGTTTTTAATTTTTATTGTTATTGTTTGCGCTAATGTCTGACATGCTGAATATAACCAAATAAATGAAATAAATTTGGTATGTAAGCCTATATAAAACCGTTCAATATTTGATATAAAGATATGAATATAATTTGGTCGTACGTGTTATTTTACTGTACGATAATGGCCAAATGTATGCGTGATTGTGTACCACGTACATGACAAGTGTATCATGTTGAGTGGCAAATGCAAAACAAAGTCAGCTTGTTGTTCATACCTGTTGTATAAGTCGGTGTCCAATAACCTGAAAAAAAAATATTAAAGTAAATTATTTTTTAATGTGTTTGTACATTACATTAATATATGGTTACATTTAAAACTATACAATGTATGGCTATTCTAAGCATACTAAGGCAGGGGTTCTCAACTGATGGCTCGCGGGCCATCTTCGGCCTTCGAGTGCGTGTTATGCCGATAACAATATTTTTCCGGGCTTGGGCCTAGATTTCTAACCTTAATAATTTTGTATTCTATTAAAGTTTTGCCAACTAAGCCTATATATTGCCCCACAAATTTAATCAATCAAATCGTAAAACTATTACAGCAAACAGCAAAGAAATACTGTACTTTACCGATGACCCTTTGTGTGATATAGGCCTATAACATTTTGACTTTGCATTACTAGACATAAGGGTAACTTTCTAATAGGTCCAAATGCTCTGTAATAAGCGTCTAGCGGCTTATTATTTTCAAAAAATGTCTAACGGGTGGGGGGAGCAAACCCTCCCCCGGTTCGCACATGCGGTACTCTGAAGGCGCTACAGAACACTTCTTGCTATAAAGGAACTCTACTTCTTATCTTGGCCCTTTCAAATTTATTCAATTAACAATTTCTGTCCCTATTGCGATATAGTTGAGAACCCCTGTACTAAGGAAATTATTAGTAGAGCTGGAAGAAAGACATACACCATTTCTTCCACACATCTCTTGAAAACATAACTCTCAAAAACAGTGTAGCTACACATTTTTTAAAATAAGAACCAGTAAAATTTTCCTAGGCTCAATGTTCTTATTTTTTGGCCTATTTCAGGCTCAAAATGTTCTTATTTTGTTCTTATGTTATATGTTTTTCAAACATAGAAAATTATTATTGTACAGCAGTACACACTGTACTGGAATGTAGGTAAATTGGCCCCGAAAAAATGACCCCTGAAAAAAGGGCCCCTGGAAAAAATGGCCACAAATAACAGGCAGGTAGGCCTGCACCTGTACTGTATTATAGAATGTATTACATAGTTACTCCTATTGCACATAAGGTACATATACAACTTTTTGGTTTTTCTAGTTTTTAAAAATAAAAATCTCATTTGACATTTTACCTCAGCCTCAAATTGTTCTTATTTTGTTCTTAATTTTTTAACATTTTCAGCCTCAATGTTCTTATAAAATGTGTTCTCATAAAAAAAAACCAAGTGTACTTGATAATTACGATCTTTTTCTGGTGTCATTTTTAGTAGTTATATAGACACGGAACGTTTTTTTCATGGATAAAATCTCCCTTTTGTAGACGGTAATTGGCGAGTATAGACCTACTTGAGATCGAAAGTGATAACAAGTGTCAGAAAAACTTCAACTCGGACTTACGAACTGGTAGACATTAGGATGTACTGAGTTTAAGTACAAATAATATTGAATGTCACTCCAAAAATTGACAAGGCCATTTTATTTTACGTTTCTCTTTTATTGAAGCATCATCTTTAAATCATTAATGATGCATAAACGATGTTTTTTGTTTTTTGTTTTTTTTGTACATTCAGAGAATGATGTATTTTTTTCTTGAACTAAACTTTACTTAACCCCCCCCCCCTTTTTGGGAGGTAAAAAAAGAATTAAAAAAAAAAAAGAAAGAAAAAGAAACAAAGTGATCCTCAAATGTTATTTTCGGTCGTCTACAACACAAACATTTCGCGAGGGCATGCCCCCGGACCCTCTGGGACAGTGTTGTCTCGATCGGCCCAACTTTCGGCCCCCACTGGCCTCCCCCCTCCTTTTGGACATTGGATCCGCCCCTGATTGCTGTAGAATTATGTTTAATTTACTTTACAACAAAGAAAAAAATAATGTGAATTTAAAAGTAATATATAGGCCCTATACAATAAAATTATAATTGAAAGCGTTAAAACTTTTGAACAACACATACCTGATGTAAAACATAGGCAATAGAGCCATAGAAACCAAATGATTTCTTCCATCCTCATTTTGAAACAGTCGTTTAGACCTCTGTTATTCACAAAAGGAATGTCTCGTGACTTAGGTTCAGAAAGGTTGTATATATACATTTAGACATGAGAGTAACCATATGTTAGTGATGTGTTTTTTTTTGTTTCCAAGTACATTGTATTTAACTATCGATTTATCTATTTAATCTATATTAATTATAAGTTGCCTTAGTGTATCGAGACATGATTTAAGCATTATGTCAATCAAGCGTGTCCTCAGGCGAGCCGAGTGGCTAGCGGTTAAGGCACGAACACCATAATACTTATAGGTCTTTTAATTGTTTTTGTAAATATTTTTATTACGTTTCCAAGACCATTTGAAAAACAGTGCATAAAACTTTATAATTTTCTATTGGATTATGCAACTAAAATGTATTCCTGGTGAAATATGTTGTAAATTAAAAAATAGCATCCGTAGTGGTTTGGACGGCAGGCTCACTCAAGGTTCTCGTGCTGGAACAAATCTTCTCGAATAAGGACCATCAGACCATAGTCTCAGTATATACAAACACTATCGTGTGCACTCTTAAAAAATCCAGAACATCCATTTAGAGGATTTTAAGCATGTTATGATTTTGTTCATTTTAAATAAATAAAAAAAAAAATATATATATATACATATATATATATATGTATATATATATAATATATATATATT